GTTGCAGTGGGTTGCAACCAGCTGGAGGGAGTCGCAACCCCACCCCCCCAAAGTTGGCCATGAGTGGCAACCCTCCAACTGCTACGGCTGCGCCTTCGGCTACGCGTGAGCAGGGCTATGCGCCTCCTCCATCGGGCGCTCGTGGCATCTCGATCTTGTTACACCATGACGAACGTACCGGTGGACCGCCTCCGCTACACCAGCATGACCCGTACTATGTGCCGGGCGAGTCTCGCGGGCGCAGGTCGTCAGTTGCAGGGTCTGCTCGAGACCGCGTGCACTCACCCACGACCTCGCCGTATCATTCTTACGGTCGTGGCGGTCCTCCGCGGTCGCCGCATGGCTACTCACGCGAGCCTGCGCCTGTTTCACAACGCGAACGCGAACAAGACCGCGAGCGCGACACAGACTGGCAGCGTCGCGATTGGGAGCACCGGCGCGAGATGCGCGCCGGTGTAGTTTTCGTCTCCTTGCCTCTCGCCTCTATCTGCCCTCGCGTGCCCTTTGCACCGGTTTCTGTCCCATCAACACTACCGCACTACGGTCTCTGCTACGAGCAAATCGTGGCTCGACAGTCGAGCCCGCCCACTCGACCCGGGCCGCGTCTGGTCGGCTCAGCCGACCCCCTCCCAGTGAGCTCGTAGCGGGAACTGCTCATCGCGTTGCAGGTGAGGCTGGACGGACATCTCACTCACGGGGTTATGGAAACACGGCTAAAATGATATGTATTTGGTCTGCAAATGTTTTCATTTTCGACATAGTTTTCGCAAGCCCAAAATGTTTTATTTTTCCTATTCAATTACAATAATGTTATGACCCACCAAAAGTGAACTAAAATATGTCGTTATTGAGGATGTAAAACTTATTGCAATATTTACGTTGTGGTAGAGGGAAAAAGATTCCGGCAAAAGGATTCTATTGTGCCGAGAAAAAGGGTTTACAAAAGTTTAAATTCCTGATTAAGCTTTTCTGAGGCCGATAAGACTTTAAAAATTTAAACATTTAACTTGCATTTTCGACCCATTTTCTCGCAGGAAAAAGTAGCCCATGCGGGCGGTGTCTGGGCCGGGCGGACAAGTATCCGGTCCGAAAGTACCGCCAACACGATCACGTGGCGCTTACGCTCGCGCAATTTACGCGTGAGGCACGTAGGCGGCTCTTGACTCAACCGAATCGGCCGGCCTTCTATTTGAATCTCGAGGACCATAACGATGTTTTCACATACTCATCGGCGGCAGCAGTCGACCAAAACATCACTTTCCCTCCGTCCGTCATGAGCTCGTCCCTCGAAGAGAAGCGCGCGCAGGTCGCGAAGCTCGTGCATTGCGATATCCTCACAGAGACGCAGGCAGAGGACAATGAGAAGCTCATCAAGCTCATGTCCCGTTGCTTCGTCTGTACGTGTCTGTCAGATCCTGATCTAGTGCGAGCTCTGACTATGCCATAGCGGATACGATCACTGGTCAGCCTTTCCTAGCTTAACTATACCATATTTGTCCCCTCAAACGATAGCATATGCGCAGTGCCGACCAAGGAAATGTACGAGTATGCTGTTCAAGCCTCGCTCGGCGATGCGGTCTACCACGAACCCTCGACCATCGCTCTCGAGGCGCACATGGCTAAGCTAACGGGCAAGGAAGCCGCGCTATACATGCCTTCCGGTACAATGTCCAACCAGATCGCTCTACGCTCGCATCTCAAGCAACCGCCCTACTCCGTTCTCTGCGATCACAGAGCGCATATCAACAAGTACGAGGCCGGCGGCACTGCCTTCCACTCTGGCGCGCACACGACGACAGTCATTCCCTCGAACCGTCATCATCTCACTCTCGAAGACGTGCAAGATCATGTCATAATCGGCGACGATGTTCACATGTGAGCGAGTGCACTTCCCCTCTTGCTCTCTTTCTTCTCGAGCCTTATCTCGTATCTCGCGTCACAGGGCACCCACGCAGGTCATTGAGCTCGAGAATACCCTGAACGGCAGTATCTTCCCTCAGGATGAGATCATCCGGATCTCCGAGTACGCGCACTCAAAGGGCATCGTCATGCACCTTGACGGCGCGCGGATTTGGCACGTCGCAGCAGAAACGGGTACTTCCATTGAAGAACTCTGCGCGCCGTTCGATTCTGTTAGCTTATGCTTCAGCAAGGGCCTGGGTACGCCTTGCCGACCGTATCGCTTTGAATCACACTCATATCATCATATCGCCCAGGCGCACCTATCGGTTCGTGCCTCGTAGGCTCTGCCGAGTTGATCAAGCGCGCAAAGTGGTTCAGGAAGCTTTTCGGCGGTGGTATGCGTCAGACCGGCTTTATGGCCGGGTGTGCTGCCTACGCCCTCACCTATAACTTCCCAAAGCTAGTCCAAGTTCATGCTCTTGCGAATAAGCTCGAACAAGGTCTCCGCGATATCGGCGTGAACATCTTGAGTGGCGCGGAGACTTGTATGGTGAGTGCATACAGTCTACGCAGTCAAGCTTCCTTTTACGAACCCTATTAGGTCTTCTACGATCCCACCACGATTGGCACGACCTATGATGAGATCGCCGAGCGGGCCGAGAACCTCCCGAACCCTTTCAAGCTCGGCGGCTCGCGACTTGTCGTTCATATTCAGATCACCCAGCAGTCGGTCGATGACTTCCTCAGTGTCGTGCGCCAGCTCGCAGAGGAGAAGAAGGCTGCCGGCTTCGTACCGCCAGCCAACGGTACAAATGGCCACATCAAGGACATCTACGTACGGAGGAAGTAGATGCATGACTCGGATTTGCGACTGGCATTCCTTGCTTTTGGGGGGCATCGCATCGTACACGAACTTGAGCACATAGCCAGAAGTGCAGGTGTAAATAGTACACAATGGTCCATAGACTTCTTCAACCTTTGCCCATGTAACGCTGCTTCTCATAGTCCCTCCATAGCGCCTTGAGCGTAGCCTTTCCGGCAGCGTCGAGACCCGACGCCATGAGCGCATCACGGTCATGCTCGTTCAGTATACCGCACAGGACGAAGAGTCCAGGCATCAGTTCTTGGCGGACACCTAAGGATAGGATGCAAAGCGCATCGTTGACAGTCTCCACATATGCCTGGATAACATACGCGACGTGCTTGGATAACGGCCGAGCGAGCGACTCTGCCTTCTGCAGCTCAGAGGGATTGGCGTGTACGCGCACAACGGTTTTCGTAATGAGCGTGGTCATCAGGCGGGCCAATGCTCTGCCCTCCTCGCGACCGAGCGGGTGATCGAGGTCCACCCAGGCCGGCAGCGAATCCGCCACTGTTCGGCGTTGCCTTTCGCCTAGGTTGGGACGCGGCTCACGCAAGCTGAATACTAGCATGCGTAAGACAACGCAGAGATGAGGTAGCGCATTGACGATCAGATCGCGCCGTAGGCGGACAAGCGCCCCGACGATAGACACAATCTTGTGGAAAACTGTTGAGGTAGTATGTCCGTCTCGAGTAGTAGCGCCTGTCAAGATCCGCGCGAGCAGTGGCCACATTGTCGTGAGATTAATCGGCCGTAATGAAGCAGGCTAGTACGCGAGAATCAGCGAAGGTCCGTTGCTATCCTCGTGACATATACATACTTTCGCGCAGCACTGCTCATCGATAAAACCCAAAGCCTGCACACGTAGCATACGATTTGCAGTATAGTATGGATAGTTCACAAACGTGCAGAGAGCACGGGTGAAAAAAGCCTGTGTTGTCCTGAGCGTGCCTATGAATACTGCGGTGAGCGGAAAAGGAACTGTGAACAGGGTTCAAATATACCTTCTGGCGCTCCGCGCAGCAAGACAGAAGCTAGGCGAATGGCATAACACAGACGGTTCGGGTCATCTTCTTCGCAGAGTATCTCTGCAACTAGATTTAGTGACAGAACGAACTCTTCGACGGCGAGACGCCGCGCCGCCCAAAGCAATAGCTCGTCAAGAGCTTCTGTAGAAGCTTTAACATGAAGCACGATGTATAGGATGAAGCCCGTACTTTGGTCAGAGGAGACGCTGGCCAGAGAGAGAGCTACGTAGGAAGCAAGCATCTCAGCCAGTCGATCTTCTCGTGCACCAGTTTTGCATTCGAATTCGGCTATCAAGAGGCCAAAGACCGCCTTGGTCTGCGACGATTTTCGAGCAGGGTCCATGTCTGAAGCGAGTGCCTGTACGAGGTCGGAGGCCTTGAGAGGCATTGTATTAACCTCCAGGCCCAACCATGCACTGAAACGTAGACAAGCGGCCGCCAAAGCGACAGACCTCTCGTGCCGTGACGTTCCATCCGTGCCAGTCAAACTTGCGATCCGGCTTACGACGTGCTCTTGGAACGTGCATAGTGCAGCTATCAACTCCCCAGGTAACCTACGACTATCAGTGTTGGGTAGGCGAGCATAGGCACGAGTAAACATACCCTTCGACGGGGAAATCGGCGACTAGAACCGACATCAGCCCTTCTCTCAGCGTGTCCAGTCTGCCATCCACATCTGGAGACGATTGCGTAGCTCGTGGGGGAAGCAGATTCGCGATATATCGCGAGGCAGCATCGATAGAGTCCCGTTGCGCCATTCGAAAGACAGCGCTACTCATGTGAGTTGTCGCTTGAACGGAGGACGGGAGAAGACATACCGAGCGTGAGCCTCGATGATCGTGAGCGTTGTCTTGTCGTCCGCACCGCCGGCCCCTACCGATCGCGCAAGATGCTCCAGATATGCCTGCGTGTACTACTCATACCCATTGAGCGAGGAAGGCTCGTGAGAAGGTGGCCACGAACCTGATGATCTGCCGATCCAACCGCATCAAAGACGCGCCTTAACAATATCCTAACAACCTTCGGTGTGCGAGCAACGCCCTCGTCGTCAGGCTTAACCGCGGTGACGACCATGTCGAGGGTCACTGCGCGCCGAAGAATATCCGTTCTCGACGACTTCGAGATGTATTCCGCAGGGCAGTACAAGAGCATGTAGAAGGCTCCCAGGACGTGTTCCAACATGCCGGAGTCCAGCCCGATCGATGATGTAGACAACGAATGAGGAGCTGCGTCAGCTATAGTTTCGAGGCTGATGGCGTCAATGCCCTGTAGTTTGGCCGTAATGGACGAGAGTAACGACGCTATGGTCGGACGTCAGTCTATCGTAAACGAGGTTTCGAAGGCGGTTCACTTCTCAGGCGACGTCGCTCCCATAGCTGTGCCGAGCGTAGACAGTCCTTTGCTACCTTGGCGGGTGTTAGAGCACTACCCGTTGTACAGGCAGATGCAACCGCTTTCAAGAGTAGTTCCACGAGTCGATCTAGTTGAGCCTGGGACGCAACAGCACTGCAATGAGGTGGTCAGATGGGGGTCGAGAGTCAACGAATTTGCCGTACTCGAGAACGTGGATGAAGCGGAACAACAACAGTCTCAATAGCCCGATGGCCGCCTGAGACGCGCCATCATCACCACGTGCGAACTCAGCCGAGCGACCATTCCAGGCTTGCGGCATTTTGAGATGGTGCTCCAAATGAACGAGCACACTGTCAAAAACGACCAGACGCTCGTCACAGTCTTCGGAGACGACGGCAGTCTTCAAGAGATAGCGGGTCTGTGATAGGGCTGAGTGACCGGCTACATAGAGCGCGCGAAGAGGCGACACACCGTTTCGAGGAATAGTTCAGGAAGAATGCTCGAACGTTGATGCACCTTAATAATGCATCGTTGATGCGCAGATTGCAGCGCGGTGAATTGCAGCCGAGGGGCGGCCTGCAAGGCATACGACAGACGAAGCGCAGCAGCCAGTACTATATCCGCGGCCCAGGTATCCGTTCTTCGGTCATGCTCATCCTGCGCTCCGGTACCTAAGAGCTCCTTGACGAACTCGGCCTGCTGTATACATGTTCTGACATCCTCTTGCACTTTGGACGTCAATGTGTGGATCGGCAATATGGGAAGAACAGCTGCCGCGATCCTGGCCAGAAAGGTGAACGAGACGGCGGCGGCGTCGCTGCAAGTAGTGTCCAGAGTCGTGGAGTCGATTGTGGATGGATGCGATCTCCTGGCCTTCTTTCTTGGGCCGACGCCGGTATCTCCGATGGTCCGGGCAGCGAGCGCAGTAAAGGTCTCATACGCGCGTTCAAGAGAGGTTACTATGTCTTGTGCGATTGGAAGCACTTGTCCAGGTGTGACAAATGTCTGTACGGCTTTCGCAAGGGCGGAAGTGAAGTCTTGTGCAAGTAGGGGAGAACTGGCGGCGCGTTGATACAGTCCGCGGATGGAGCCTTGATGAGAGGCCAATGATGTGAAGATGTCCTGTACATGTCCCAAGAAGTTCGGCAATGAGCGCGCTCGGGAGTGATGAGAGATGCAAAGAGTCAAGAGCTCGAGCGCAGGGGATGCCCCGGAATCCGGTCGTTGCGGAATGACGAGTAGACGCGCGAGGAGCTTAGGCAATTGAGATTCGAGCAAGTCGTGATCTATACGCGACACGACAGACAGAGCTTCGATAATGAGTGCCGAATCTTCATTCGCTGTGAACTTCGTGAGATTGAGGAAACATGAGTTGAAAGGAAGGTTGAGGACTGACCAATACCATCAAGCGGAAGCGTATCAATGTACAGGCCGACCTCCTTCCGGATTGACTGCTGCCCGTCAGCTTGTCCAAATCCCAGCAAGGACTCCCTCTCGATAACCCGCAACAGAGCGAGTCTCGAGATCCATGCAACTTCGGAGAGTTCGTTCGTCGCGCTGCGCAAGTACTCAGCGCACTGGGCATAGAATAGCATGGCAGCTGCACGAGCTGCCGTCGAGGCAGAAGAGGCGTTCTGTCCAAATAAGGCTCGGTTCTTGCGCGAGGCCGCTATGAAGGACAGTAGCAGCTTCGACAAGGCCTTCAACGAGGCCTCGCTCATTGCTAATGATGCGAAGAGGGCCTCGAGAGCGGATGGGTCAGACAGGTGTTTGATAGTCTCCACGTTGAATAGTATCTCTTGCCCGGTACGATATATCTCGGCAAGCAGGGCATATCCGGACTCTTCTTCAGAACAGGCAATGCAAACTACCCATTGCTGGAGGTGAGCTTGCATAAACATTTGGTACACCTACAACAATTTGAATATGATGTAGCGCGACACAGGGAAGGGGGTCATTCACCTTCCTCTTATTGTACGAGTGGTGAAATGCTTCTAACAGGGATGCGTTGAGTCCGGCCCCGATTTGGGTAAGTCCAACGGAGTCGTTTGGGAGACGTGCGGCAGTAGAGAGTAGTGCACCGAAGCAGTCGAGGAGTATGTCTACTGTGAACTTCGGTGATGCGAGTGGCCACAACGCACATATCGCCTGAGCAGAAACGTCCAAGAGTGTAGTTGCGGATCCCGAGTCCATCTTGCTAGCTCTCTCCAGCAGAGAGGCGCATATCGGGACAAGAGGTATTCGATTGAGAAGCGGGAGAAGCCATGTTTTTGTCGATGTAGCAGACGGACCAGACTGCAGGAGTATGCTCAGTACAGATGAGAGTAGTTCCCAGTATCTTCTGTCGGTGACGGGGCCATCCGCTCTGTCTTCAACTATTAACTGAAGTATACATTCACAATCGACTATCGTGCTCACGTTTTCCCCTTCTCTTTTAGTAGACGGGTCAAGATGAACTCGACAATTGCCTCGGCCTTATTTTGGGTATTGATGGCCGAGTTATCCCACACTTCGCGTGCAATATCGATTTTCTCTAGGCTTTCAGGGTTGGGTGGGTCATTTGGCGCCTTGAGCGCGCGGACGAAGTTTTGTGAAGAGTGTAGATACGTCATTTCCTTTAGATGCGCGTATTTGACACCCTAAGGCATAAGACGCAGTGTGGAAACGCGCGCGACACGGTGAGGACGCTGTCCTTCGAGAACAAGAGGGAGGAGGAGAAGTTGCAAGACGCGTCGGATCGAAAAGCGCGTCGCGTCTTTCCCGCGCGCCCGCGCGTCTCGATTGGCGCCGCACTCCGCGGTTCCGCATCGCGCACCCACCCAACGCCGGAGTCATATTTGCTCTTGACCGCGACCACCGTCAGCCATGTCGGGCCCCATTATTTCAGAATGCGCGCTGATGCAAGAGGAAGAGCTACAGGTTCTCGAGGTGCGTCGGTGGCCGAAGGATGAGGTGAAGATGCCTGACTGATCCACCTCGCGGCTGTGCTTGCAGTCAATATATCCGGACTGTGTTCTTCCTTCAGGCGACGCCTCCGGAAGCATCAAGAAGCTCGAAGTTCTCATCGAGCTCGGCGACCGTACGTCCGTTCACATTGTCGACGATGGCAGCGCACACACCATCGCGGGCCCCTCGCAGAGTACGACTGGTCATGTTCCGCCCGAGATACTTTCACTATCCTCTCTGCCATCGATACTTCTAGAGGTTTATCTCCCTCCGAAATACCCACTGGGCCAAGCTCCGCAAATCAATTCTTTGCATATCTCACACGACTGGTTTACAAACCCCGCATCCCTGCGCAAGCAGCTGTTGGACATGTACCAACTTGGCGAAGGCGTGCTGTATACTTGGGTGGAGCGGCTTAGAAGTGGAGAGTTTCTGAAGGACCTTGGCCTGTATGTACACATGAACGGAGAGGAGTTCTTACGGTGCGTTCAGATGCGCATATAGTCACACCTTATCGCTCACAGCATAAATCCAATGCAGTATACCTCATCCAATGCCTCGCTTACTCGCTCCGAGACTGATCGCGAATGACACTGCACAACAGACTTCCCAGTTCTCTCAGCACTCGTATGAGTGTACTGTGTGCTTCAACTCACGCAAAGGCTCGCGCTGCCTATCACTCAGCTGTGGCCACATCTTCTGCCGCGAATGCCTGGAGGACGGATGGAAACTGTATATTGCCGAGGGGGACATATCGCGTGTGGGCTGTCTTGATCCAGCTTGCGTGAAGGAGGGCCTAGAAGCGAATGAAGAGGAAGTACGGCGTGTGGTCACGGAAGAGGAAGTTCGACGGTGGCTTTGGCTACGCCAGAAGCGCGTCTTTGAACGAGGTTCGTTCCTTACACATCTACGCTCAGCATTGAACTGAGAAGACGGACAGATCCACAGACGGTTCATTGTCCGATGGCGCTGTGTCAAGCGCCCGTACCGAAACCGGTTGATCTGATTGATGATGGATCGGGATGGGAGCGACTCCGGACGTGCCCTGCGTGCAGCTACTCGTTCTGCGCGTTCTGTAAGAGAACTTGGTACGCCTATCTGATTAGCCGAGGTGCACAATGATGCCTGACTCTTGCCTGCCAGGCATGGGTCTTTGACGGATTGCCCTATACCCCTCTCCGAGAAGGTCATCGCCGAATATTCATCAAGCAGCGACGGCTCGACAGAACGGAAAAACCTAGAGTTGCGTTATGGAGCCAGGAACTTGGCCAAGCTGGTTGCCAGATGGCAAGAGGAGAAGGCCAATCGTGAATACTTTGAGGAAAATAGCACCAGCTGTCCTCACTGCTCGGTGCGCGTACAAAAGAGCCATGGCTGCAATCACGTAAGAAGTTCGTCGGGTTGTGGCAGACGTATCCGCTGACCCGGCACATTTCAGATGACATGTGCTAAGTGCAAGACCCACTTCTGTTACCGGTGAGTGTGCCAGCTCCTGTTGGTTGACTTTGCGAGTTGAACGGCGCGAACGCAGATGCGGACAACGTTTGCAGCCGAACAATCCCTATGCTCATTTTTCCACGCCGAACTTGCCCTGTTACCAGCAGTTGTTTGATCAGAGCGAGCTGGATACGCATGATTGGCAGCCTGTAGAATTACTTGATATTGCGTTCGAGGGCGAGTAGCATAGGGTAGACCGACGCAGAGATAGAGTTGGCTTCGGCGGCTACGTCAGAAATGTTTCGGCAACGAGCGGCGAAGCGGGAGAAACGAAACGCGAGTACAAAAGTCTATCCTGCCGTGTCTAGATCTCCTCCCGCCACCACCGCCCGTCGCATTCCTCCACAGCGTTCAGACCGGGCGGGCTGCCGTTGTCGACGTTAGCGGCCTCATTGCCGGATTTCGAAATACAGAAAAAAATACCCAGGATATCTGAAGGATACCCCCTCGTGTCTGCGCCGCGCATACCGAACGACGAACGCTATTCCCACTCGCCAGAGTTCTTATTCCGTCTCCATGGACATCTACACGACCGCCTTCTCCTATCCGCGCCGGCATCGCCTCGTGCGCTCCCAGAACCCGTCCCTCGACTTTTCGCAGAACGGACATGGGGATCCGCACGCGAGCACGCCCTTCCCGACCTCCTTCGCCAACGGCGCCTATCCCGGCCCGCCCCCGGAGCCGCCCCAGCCGCTGCAGCCCGCGGACGCCGAGGCGCTCCAGAAGCTGACCATGCTCGCGATGACAACCCAGGGCTGCCATGTCTCCTACCAGATCGCAGATCACGCCGCCGGCTGGAACTTCCTCGTATCCGGCCCCATGCAGCAGCTCCTCTTTGCCCGCGGCATGATCCTCAAGGACTGTCCCGTGCAGGTACGCATCGAAATATCGTATACTCATCCATCTTTGTTGATCGTCGCACCAGAACCGAGGAGCTATTCGCGTCGCGCGCTCGGAGGTGCTCGACTATCCGTCGTCAAAGCCCCAGCTCAAGGCCGAAGTCCGCCGCCGTCTGGACGAAATCGCGTCGGCGACGATGGCACACATAGCCGTCGTCAACAGCCCTCACTCGTTCTCCACACGCACACCTCCCGACGGCATCAGTAGCAGCGCGGGTTGGTCCGGTCTCGACACCGAGCGTGTCTGCGAGCTGGTCATCACAGGACAGGGTGACTCGGTGGAGCTGGCTAGAGTACGCCTGCTGGTTATGCTCGATGAGATGGTATGCGCTTTTGACTTCTCGGTCTATAACTGACTCTAACTTCTCGATCTTTCAGAGCGGTCTCCACGCGGACTTCTGCGAGATTGATCAGAAGCTGCAAGCCATTGTCGCTGGTCGCAAACGCAACGTCTTGCAGACTATCCAGGAGGAGACCGGCACGAACATCTACCTTCCGTCGCCTCTCCAGGGGCTGGTTGGACCCGATGCCACGGGCGCTTCTACGGCTCTCGGCGGCACAAATACCGCGCCTAACAGCCCCACTCGCAAGGCAAGAAACTCGATCTGGATAACGGGCGAGTTCTTTGGCGTCCAGCGGGCACGCGATATGCTGCTGCAGCTCGCTATGACGAAGGTGCGTGGACGTCACACTCCTAGACATTGCTTTCGGCGGCTAATAGCGCTCGCAGAGCAAAGCTGTGGTCTCAAGAGATACGGCCATTCTTCCGCGCAAGCTTGATTGGATGGTTCTTGAACGCGCCGATGACCTCAAGGCCGTCATGAACGATAATGGCACCTTCATCATGTTCCCTCCTCTCGGCAGCTCGACCAGTCTGATCACGGTTTTTGGCGACCACAAGGTCAACGTACAGCGCACCATCCGGGCTGTCATGCAATTGGTCTGTCCATCCCGCAATTCAGAAGCCTGTATGTCGCTCACATCATTACAGGCTTGCCAATTTTACGTGGCGTCCTTCTGGCTGCTTCCGGCGCAGTTCAATCCTCTACTTCCCCCGCCCGCGCTGTCGCCCACTCAAGTGACTGCTATTCTCAAGCAGGTCTCGAGCGCGACGGGAGCCGAAGTGGTTTTTAAGAGCATGAACTTTGAGATGTATGGCATGGAGCATGAAGTCCGCAACGCTATCAACATGTTATTAGATATCGACGCGCTGAAGGTGTGTTCTATATGGGGGTTCCTTCCTTCGTTGATACTAACGCACGTATAGGCCTTCCATCATGAGATACGCTTCCAGATCGAGCTGGCCAACGAGCATCGTGAATTCATCTCAGGCAAAAAGAACGGCAAAATCAATAAAATCATGCAGACGACCAATGTAAAGATCAAGTTCGAGACGTTCAACGACCATAACTTCCTCATCGATATTGCCGGCACCGACCTGACCATTCTTCAAGGCCTCGCGCTGCTCCAGGAAGAGCTGCCTGCCGAGATTTCCTTCCACGTGCCTGAGTCTTACCATAAGCGCATCATCGGAGTGGGCGGTCGCAGCATACAGCGCATCATGAAGAAGTATGGCGTCTACGTCAAGTTCTCGAATGCTGAAGAGTTCGCGGCTCTCGGCGGCTACAACGATAATGAAGACAACGTCGTTGCGCGCACGCCAGCGAAGAACGCCATTAACCTCGACAACCTGAAGCAGTCCGTTATGGAACTTGTCAACCCAAAGGTTCGCCTATCCTATCTATGCATGTACTCGACGCCCCCTGATGCGTCTTGCTACAGGACAAGGACTACATCTCCGAGACAGTTATTATTCCGCGCCGTTATCACCGCACGCTCCTGGGCGAGAAAAGCATTTTCATCCACGACATCGAGAACAAGACCAATTGCCGCATACGCTTTCCCGACAAGGAGACTGCCTCTGACGCCGTCATGATCTTCGGTCCCGAGAGTCAGATCCAAATTGCCGCGACGATGCTCTTGGTCAGTCCTCTGCCTTCTCTGGAATAAGCGTAGTTTAGCTTACACTCAAAATAGGACCATGTGCCTTTCGAGGCCGATTTGGTTGTTCCGCCACAAGCGGAGCTCCGCGTCTTGGTTGCTTCGCCAGACTTCAACGCCTTCGTTGAGCAAATAAAGCGCGAACTCCAGGTCGTCATCTTCCCGAATCTCAAGACGACCAACGGCGGTGAGACGCCGACGGAGACATCATTCAAGTTCCGCTGCCAACGCAGTAACAGTGATTTCCTCGTCTCAGCCCGCGAGATGCTTGAGCAATTCCTCCTCAATCATAATGTGCACGTCTACCCATCGCCCACTTCTCACACGCACAAGCGTGGCGACTCGTTCACGTCCGCCTTCCCACACTTTGACAGCAAGGTCCTATCTACCATGCCTCGCACTCGCGGCTCGGCGGACTTCTCTCGTCCGGACCCCATGGTCGACAGGCGCTTGCGCATGGCGAACTCATCGCCAGATGTGAAGGCGCTCTTCAATAACTCTCCCAAGTACATCTACCATCTGGAAGAGGCGCAAGAAAGTCTCGAGAGTCAACACAGCTACCTGCCGCCGAACGACTACTGGAATCCGCAACCATCCATCGCTGCTCGCCACGGCCGCTTCCTCTCCATGTCTCATGCTGACGAGGGAGCACCGGGTGCGATGTTGGCGGCCCAGCGTCTGGACGAAGACAAGCGCGTCTCAGACTCGCACCTGGAATCGCGCATCGGCCAGTTATCTAAGCCGCGCTCGCTCTCAAATCGCGCCCAGTCACTGGATTTGACATACTCGCTCTCGCGCATCACCGAGGGCTCTTCGCGCTACCCTCTACCACCGGACTCGCCGACGAACTCTATCGGCGAGCGCAGCAGTAGCCCAGCCAGCGCCACCGCACCCTCCTTCCCGAGCGTGTATGGGCCGACGGGTGCCGGTCGTACACCGATTGGCGCCCACCGCGGCGTGCGCTCTCTCGACGATGAGAGCGTCGAGGAGGTTTCGCGTGTGATGTCCAATCTCGGATTGTGATCTATCTTTCCCCTTGCACACGTCACGCTAGTTTGGAAGACATCTCTCGATCTATTCACTGTATCAAACAAGGCTCTCGGACAATTGACTGGACCTGCCATTCCATCCCTGCATTATCCCCTCCCGCGCAATCCCACATCCCCGCCCCACAATCCCATCTCTCGCACGTATAGTCGATATTCAGCCCATCTCTCCCTCGCACCTGTTCTCTCAACCTGCTATCATCTCGTGCCTGTATCAATCCCGTAGCACGTCTATCCACCGGTCTTTGCCGTCTTCGATCTCTGTGAGCCCTGGTCTCCTAGTGTCTGGTTTGCCCCCCGAGCCCTTCGTCTTCTCGCTCGTCTCGATGTACAATACGTCTATTCTTCTAAATCCCCCCTGGCTGCGCCCGGTAGTACTCAATCTTGCTTCGTACCTCTCTGGTATCTGGAACCGACTGAACTGCAATAGAAAATCGTCGCGACTTCTCGTGGCTTTGATTGAATGAACAAAAAGAATGGCGATTATACCGGCAATACAGCCAATTCACTGTGCTGCATTACAATACAATCCATGGCACTTCGAAGAGAACAAAGTTGAAGAACTCTTGCTCCATGAGCGTCTGATACTCGCCGAGGAAGTCGTCGTTATTTGAAGCGCCGGCCTTCGCCTTGCCACCCGAGGACCGCGGAGCAAGGTAAGTGAAATGCATCTGAAGAAGACCAAGTGACCGCGTTGTCGTTTGCGGGTTCGGTTTCACGACGAAACCAATGTAGTTGGCGGGGAGACCATAACGTAACACGCTCTCGACAAATAGGCGTATGACCTTGATGTGTACGAGTAGCTGGAATGCTTCGGAGAAGTTGGTCCGTGAGAGCCGTAAAAGCTCAGTCTATGAACGAGGCATCAATGGGAGAAAAGCAGTCGAAGAGTGTAGTACGGACCCAAAGCTCCTTCTCGGTGGCGTCCGCCAACTGTAACTCTTCCCGCTCCCTCTCCATCTGATCCTCAGAGAACGTGAAGTCGCGGACCATGTATCTGTATAGCGTGAAAATCAAGAGCAATACACCAGCTTGGCAGCGCGGCCTACTTGTTCTCTCGGCACTTTTGCACGAAGTCATCGTGGACCCTCCGGAATATGACAACGGAGTAGAGCGTGAACTCATCATCAGAGGCAATTGCACTAGATAGACACATCAAGATAATGATAACAACTTCATCGAACCATATACTTACTTCGTGGATCGCGGCACGACCATGTTCGTGAGTTTCTCGTACTTTTGCAACCAATCCTTGACGTTATTTCTATGGGCAGATTAGCGGGACGCATATATCATCACAGATCAGGACAGTGTACTTCGGCACGGCAACGACCAAGGTCTCCAAGTATTCAGAGTCTTGAATGAAGTCGTCCGCGGATACGACATCGGCTAATGAGCGCACGGATAAGTTGCCACTGTGAGCTTTATCTTTCAGCAAGTGGGGGTATGGTTCTATCCGCAAAGGCGTACGTCTTCTTTCGTTGCAGTTGCGTAAGTGAGCCCTTAGCGAGGTTGTAACTTGTCAACTTTGCCTTCATGACGTTGTCTATCGAAGTCATTTCCTGTATCCTGACTGAGTAGCACTCAAATACGCGGGGTACAGCAGCGTACTTTGCTCAAGATATCGGTCATATCCCTCAAACTCCGCTGAGTGCCGTACCTCCCCTCGTTCCATCTCCAGTCGTTCGCGAGGTAGTCGTCAACGGGACGCTCGTCGACCAGTACGTGCTGCGCAAGTTTGGAAGGATCGTTGTTCAAGAGGTTGCGCAGCGTATCGACTGTCTTCGCGACGACGGACGTGAAATATGCATCATGCTTCGGCAACTCTTCAGACAGCGCAATGAGCAGGTCAAGCGTTCCTGTCTACAGTGTCGTTCAGTGCGGTATACACGTACGATGCGCGAATAGAATAGTAGACCTTGAACGAGGGTATATGGAGCTGGCCGAAGCCGTCCGGCGCGGTGCGAGAATTCGTTCTGAATTTGGACTGGAGCTCTTCGAGCAGGCCCTCCGAGTCACCATCCTGGGGAACCGCGATGAGCCAGGTGGATTGATCTGAAGGCATCGCGGTCGTTGCTGAACCCGCCGCTCAACTGGCCGGAGTCGATCCTTGCGGGCACGGAGCGAACGGACCGGTCACATGACGTCACTTGCGGCACTCGTATCTTTTCTGTGCCCACAGCCATATTCGTAGGCCTTGGCTGCCGCAGCTATTGTGATTGGCCCTTGTGAGGCTTACAGCAGCAGTATGCTATGCACGTGCAAGTACATCGAGGGTTGCCGGGTCACGGGCCGCTTACTATGATTTCCCAGGCGTGGCGTGGCCGGATATAACTCAAACCTCGGCCACTCAGCATCATGATCTACACTTTCGCGAGCGCTTGCGACATCGTGTCTGTTGCTTCCTGCGTTCGTCACCATGGCGCTCATGTCTCTAACAGCAGGTCTCAGAGCCCTCCGACAGCGAGTTCTAGTACGAGCGATGTCTACCGCTACTAAAGCTCCGCTTGTTGTGACGCCCGGTGAAGTTTCCCGGCTTGCGCAGTCTACGAAGGTTGCGTTTTTAGATGCTAGCTGGCATATGCCGAACTCTCCTCGCAATGCGGCGAAGGAATTCTTAGAGAAGCATATCGCCGGCGCTCAGTTCTTCGACCTCGACGCTGTCGCGTCCTCTGATAAGCTTGGACTTAAGCACATGATGCCGACAGGCGATATCTTCGTCTCTGCCCTCCGTGAGTATCATGACTACCATGAATATGATATATGAATCTAATGGGGGATGATCAGGATCTCTTGGGATCTCTCCCGATACCCACGTTATACTGTATATGTATTCGAACTGGTGTTTGTGCTCCCTTCTAATGCGGTGATTGTAGCTACGATACCGTTGGAGTGTTCTCCTCACCAAGAGCTCTCTTCACTTTTCGCTCTTTGGGGTATTCGCAATCGAGCGTCTTGGATGGTGGGTTAATCCGCTGGGAGCAAGAGGGTCTTGCAGTTGCCGACGGGCAGCCTGCGGAAATCACCAGTAGATCTGAGTACCCGACACCCGCTCTCCAGGAAGACTCTATTCAGAGTGAGTCCGGCCCCTTCTCAGTCTCTTGAACGAATTTTGACGCCCTGTTGGTGGTAGGCTATGAGCAGATCGTGGAAAACTCTCAGAAGGATCCAGCGCAAGATATAAATGCGCGTATTACTCTGGATGCGCGTCCTCGCGAAAGGTACGTCCGACTTCACCGCCGCACACTCTTCGCCTCCATACTGAAACAGAATCGCGTAGGTTCTTGGGTATCGATCCTGAGCCGCGTTCTGGCCTTTCTTCAGGTCACATGCCTCATTCGTACTCCTTACCGTTTAGTGCATTTCTGAGGACGAACACTGTTGTTGGAGCAAAGAAGACGTACACGACTCTTCTCCCGCCTGATGAGGTTCGCATCACCCTTGAGAAGGCTTTGGGTCAAACTACGGCTCAAGAGATTATCGACGGAAAGAGGAAGGCCACGACGACATGTGGAAGGTGAGTGCACTTCTTCTACATTGCACCTGACTGCGCGGCCTGTTCTGATCCTATCCAAACTCAGCGGAATGACTGCGGCTGTACTCTGGCTCGGTCTCAAAACCATCAACGAGAGTATCTCAGTGTCACTCTATGACGAGGTACGTCACGGTCGGCAGTTCAGGCTTTTGGCGGTATTGATTTGCGTCGGCTTCTAAGTCCTGGACCGGCTATGCTATGCGCCCCCAAAGCAAGATCATCAAAGAGAGGGAATCATAGAGCACTGAGTAGGTGATGCGGAACACATTAATACAATCTTGTGGACATAAATACAATATAGCTCAACCTTGCAAAGCAGTGCACTCATTATGAAGGGCACGACCCATCAAGCAACCTGAGAAATGCAACCAAGTAACAGTGTGTACATTAGCTTTGCGGTACCGATCCACCCATGATTCAGTGGGTCAGCATACGCTGGTTCAAGACACCGATGAATGGCGGTCGTGGTGTCTTGAGCGGTGCCGCTGAGAGCGAAGCAGGCATCGCCGTATATCGAACTTCGATGCGTAGCCTCGAGCCTTGACGGAACAATGTCATCTGCCATCTGCGAAGACGTGTGATGAGAACAGTTGGCAGTGTAGATCCAATGCAGCCGTGGGCACGTACCCTTCCCGCCATAAGGCATTGTATCCCATGGTCCGCGCTTCTTGCAGTAATCGGTGTTGCGCCGCGCTCACAGCCTTGCTCACATCGCCAGGCGAGCGCACCTCGAAGATGTATGACCGGACGATGTCTTCCCCATGCACAGCGAGGATCTCTGCGTCGCTGTCTGCGTCATCGCGTACTTTAGTCAGTCGTGATCTTACGGGGAACGATGCTGACTCGCTTGGCTCCGGCACGCACCGTCCATGTCGTCGCAGTCCCAAGCGTGCACAGGATCGACGGACTTGCTATCTACAACTTCCCAAGTCGGATGGTGTTTACTAGTGGATAGTAGTCGTACGCAGAAGGTGAGGGCTCGTGCAAGTACCATATCGAGGTAGAAGTGAAAGTGGGTTGCGGATTGCTGACACAGGATTAATGTGAGCCTCACGGCAGGCAGACAGTGGGTGCGAGCGTGCGTGTACGCACGCCCGTGAGCGCGAGGCTGTTATATACTCATCATGCGCTCATCGGCGTTCATCTTTGAGATGAACAAGCCTGCAGGCGAACTAAGTAGGGGGATATACGTGATCAGAATTCGCATCGCCATCGGCCCTCTCTGACCCGTTTCGATATTCTTACGCAGCTACGCCCTCCAGTGAGGCGGCTGATTTCGCTTACTGTGCGCGCGAACGTGAGACAGCTACGTGCACAATATCATTGGACACACGGATGCGCTCGGGTCGGACGGGAGCCTGCTAGCTCGGCCGTATGCCGACTGTTGTCGTAAATCCTGCCGACTAAGTCGTGGCCCGGGAAAGGCGCCCACTCCCCACCCCAGGCACCGATCCACTAGTACAAGAATCAAGCGCCCACATAAATGTGTATAGTCAATGTCTGCTTACGCCGCGCTCAAACTCCGCTGCGAAGTAGCTGTCCAGCACGGCGGGGCAAGGCCGATATCATCGAATGCATCGATGCCCATGTAGCAGCAATACTATGCACAGGGATGCTGTAATCACATATCAGAGACTTGCGTTACCAGGGTCACTCTTCTTGTGGAAGAAGAGAACTTGAGACTTGCAGGTCAATGATCTAGTGCACGACGGAAATACGGTAGTCGACGTCGACGGGAGCAGTCGTTGATATACCGGCGCGTGCGGCTGAGAGAGCCTTATCGAGGATGACGAAAGCAAAGGGCCGACAGAAGGATGTTGACGCGGAAGGACCTTGTCTGACTGTTCTGGCGCATATTACATTCATGGCCAGCCATCATCATGCCGGGATATCCGGTCGACAAATAATACATGCTGAAAGAGGCCCCTGTATCTGAGAAAGCGATCCTGACAGAACCACGAGCGAGCAAACGAACACGATTTGGAGCGAGGCGAAACTCCGAGTGAGCGGCCTTAGAGCATAGTATCCTCTTCACCCCAACCAGTTGGCCCACCCTCTTCTTCGCCCATCACCCGATCTTCCTCGTGTCCAAATGATGAGGAATTTTCCATAGGCGCTTCTGAGCCGGCGATCTCGCCAGGTTTGGCGGGTGCGGGGCCGGTCATCCAGGAAACTTGCTTATGTCCCGCGAGAGGTATATTCGAGCCCTTCGCGAGCGCCTTTGTAGAAATGGGTTAAGCGTGAGTGTCGATGCACAAGCAGCGACGGACTTTACCTGTTCTGCCGCGTTCCTAGTCCTGAACGATACAACGACATCGCCATCGCCTGTCGGCTCAAACGACTCCACTTGGCCCGTCGCTTCGTACCAATCGCGGACGGCTTGCTGCGCCTCTGATGAGACCTCTTTGACGAGCAGTTTTCGAGGTCTATTGTCCAAGCGCATATTCGGCGGAGGCCCTCCTCGCCCACCTCGGTAGCCAAAAGCACCGCGCCCCCGTCCACGGCCGCGCCCGCGATAAGGTCGATATCCGCCAGGCGCATATGTGGTAGCGGAGGTTGACGCCTCAGGATTACTCGGATCGATACCCAAGCTCGCCGCCTACACACGCGATATCAGTGAATGTTCAGGCACCCCGAGCACTTGACGTACCTCGGCTTGGAGCTTAGCCAACTTCGCCTTGAGCGACTCCGTCGAGTCTTCACCGTCGCCCTCGACAGCTACAGTCGCCGAATGCAAGTCCAATTCCTTGTCCAACATCTCGCGTTTCGCTTGTTCATCGGCGGTGGGTGCGCCCAAAGTTGGTGATTTTGTGCGCGTCGAAGAGGCAGATAACGGTGGAGCAGTTGTGCTACCCGTCTTGGTTGTCTCGATCTCCTTCCCTAGCTCCCGCAATCTACCGAAGATGTCTTTCTTCTCCTCTACCGACGCCGTCTTCAAACGCTCCATGAGCGACTTCTGCTCCGCAATCTGCATCTCCAGAATCTGCTGCTTTGCGGCGAGGGCAGATGACGAAGCGCTTGCGCCGTGGCCGTTGGCCTTGGCCGCAGCTCCCGCCGATGGCACAGCTTCTGAGCCATTGCGTGTCGAAAATGTACTTGCAGAGGCAGCGAGCGCCCGTTGCCCGGCGGTGCCATGTCCCTCCATCGGCCGATGCCAGAACACCTTCACGAAACGATTCCCAAATACTGCCTCCTCGCTCTTCCAGGCGGCATGTGCCTCGTTATGATCAGCGAAGCTGACAAGCGCTTTGGCCGTTTTGACGTCGACAGCGACGTTAGTGACGGTGCCGAACTGCTTGAACCAACCGTTGACAGCATCCAAGGACAGTTTCTCACGAGGAATTTTCTCCACCACCAGCGTCTTGTCGTTTCGTCGTTCGGGGCGGAAACGTTGCACATCTGCACCGAACGTCCCTTGGCTGCGCCCCCGTAGAGGGCGTCCACCTCCAAACCCTCGCGCAGGCCCCCGGGGATTCACGATACCCCTTTCAAGGGTATTTGGGTCGATGTCCATCCCCACAGCTTGGTCGAGCAATCCACCTGGTATCGAACCAGACGCCCCCATCATGGGACCAGGTGGAAGGGACGTGTCTGGTGGCGCTGAATCTTCTGCTCCCTCTTCCCTCGGCACTCGCGGCGTAAGGTCCTGAATGACAGGCAACTCTCCGTGTTTATGAGCGGCAAATGCAGCATTCTCTCGGCGCATCAACGGCGCCTTGGGCGGACGACCGAATGTATTGAGCTCCATTCGAGCGTTATTCGGGTCATAGCCTGCATCTCCGCCCGGTGGTGACCCTCCTGGCGGAAACCCCAGGCCACCATTTGGCATCATCTGGCCCATGCCCATCATGGGCGGCACGAAAGCATCGTCACCGTGACTGAATTTGCACATCGCGCCGCGCGAACAATAACCCTTGACTGGTGAAGAGTTAACCGAGAACCAGGAAAAGAGGATATAACGGGAACGTACTGTGATAGTCTCTGCATATGCCGCGACCGCCACCTGGGGGCTGATATATGCGCTGGTTGCCGTTCATGCCGCCGATGCCCATCATGCCGTTGCCCATGCCGTAGCCGTTCCCTCTACCCGCAAACTGGTCGCCTTGGCTCAAACGCGGGCCCTTCGCTGGCCGCCCGTCAGCCGTTTCATCATAATCTCCGGCACGTTTTCGCCCGTGAGGCGCTGCTGCAGGCTGTAAGAGGGCGTCGAGTGGGATGGGGATGCCCTGGTCGGCGGAACCAGAGGGAGCGGGCGGAGGCGTAGAGCTCGTTGTATAAGGAAGATATGACTTGGTGCGAAGTGCGGTAAAGAGCGTGTTGACAAAACCCGCGGTTTCTACAGACGGCAGCGGTCAGCATCAAGTCGTATGAGCGACCGCGTCACAGCGTACCCTTCTCGAGAAACTCTTCCAGTTGCTCAGATAGGTCCTTCCGCAAGTCGGCTTCCGGCGATTCATGCTTGAGCAAGGCAAGAATGTAGTTCGACAACGCTTCCGGGTCGGCGTCGCATCTGTAACCCCATGTCAGCGACGCATACAGCAAGGTATTCGACTTGAAAGCATACATTGGCTCAAGGGTACGTGTCAGCCATGGCCGGAGATGGTCTTCGGTTGAGGGGTCAAATATCATCCTCGATGCGGTTCAAGGTGGTCGCAGTCGACGGCAGGTCGCAAATTCCGTTCCGGTGTTCGACCTTCGGCGTCATCTGCACCGCTGACAAATCGCTGATGTTGGTGGACCCACACCGCTGAGAACATTCTCTAGCATACTCATGCTACATTTATAGTTGGAAAATACACGCTTTCACCCTCACGCCCGCCAGGTCCGACAATTTTACTCAGCAGAAGAACGTTCTTCAAACCGAGTTACATAACAGGGAAATTTGAACAAAGTGAGTACTACAGATTGAACGTGAGCATAGGTACGAGTAGAGCGCTTAACAACACTGGGACGAGACCGCGATCGCATTCAGCGACGCGAAGCGACCGAACACCATTTCTCCGAGCGCAAGACCGGCCACAATAGCTATTATGTACGCCGCCTGGAATGTCCTGCACGCAAAAGGAGATTAAGTAGGCATGCGGGACATCCGTGAGAGAGACGAACTTACATGACTGCGAGCATAAGAGCGTACGAGAGGAAGGCTTGTAGGCCGTAAAGAATACCGCGTATGAAATCGCGGGCGAGCATGAAGCGTGATCGGCGGCTGGGACCACGAAGGAGGGATGTGGTGGTGAATGGCGGACCGGGGTCGACCTTCGCGTCTTGTCCATCAAGCGAACTGTACAGCATGGTCAACGACTGCCTTGGTACAGCGACAGATGATGCAACGTACGCCTGGCGCCAACGCGCCTCTAGTAGGCTCCTCCCAGCAAAGAGTCCGCGCTCGGCGACGGCAAGAAACACAAGAAATAGACTTGCGCCTGTCAACGCGCCGCCCGATACCGGGGCGAGGCTCTTGAAGAAGAGATAATCCCCGCCGGTGAAGTGCAAATACATCATCATGCCAGAAGATCCGGACATGTTCATGCCACTCGTCGATGGAGAGCTAACGCCCGACATAGAAGAATCGCCGGACACAGAGGAGCCACTAGACATGTCCATGGCGAACGAGGTGGATGGAGTTAGACGAAAGGGAATGAGACGTTATAAGGGGATGTCTGCGCCTGCAGTTCGTGACAGCTCGGAAAAGGTGACAGTGACCAACCGACTCGCCACGATGGCAGGTTCTGTCGCAGTTCTTCACGCGGAATTGGACGGTTCCTATCTCATCACCCGCTCATATCCCTCCGCATTGATTCATGCGGAGGCCAAACCTATACATATCTTGATTTAGAAGGCTATATCCGCTGTCCGCGCATTATTGCAAGAAGGGGCGAAGTCCGTGGCATTGAGCAGACTTTGATTGAAATATTGAATAAAAACACGACGAAATGAACTTGTTGCTAATTCCACGCCAACAGTCACAGCTCCTCGGCTGACCATCCACATATCTTCAGACCATGCGTCTCGCCGCAACCAGGCTATTTTCAGGGTCTCGTGGATGGATCCCGTTCCCGAGCCATCATCGAACGTGAAGCGCCATCCCCGAGCCAGCGTTGAGGAGCCAGTCGGCAACGACGAAGCACATGTACCGGGACGAAACAGCGGGCTTGGCGGCGACCGTGAGATTGCCAAGAATAGCATGGGCGATAAGGAGGTCATCGGCCTGGGATTGAGAAGGGCTCGGTCGGCGGCGGGTAGGTAACGGCTGGGGAAGGGAGGGTGGATGGCGTGTCGGCGGGTAGAGGCAGGCTGTTCTCAAGGTCAGCACAGGTTAGAAGAGATCGTTAAGTCGAGAGAGAAGTCAATATACATCGCTGAAGCCTAAAGAGTAAGGTGGGGAAGGGCTGGAGGGCAGAACAGGTGAGGCCGCAGGGTGCACGACGATGGGCAGGCATGGGTTACCGTTATCTTTAGTGTCTCCGCCTGCGCCTGTTGAGGATACAAGAAGGTAGATTGGTGGTACCTATCGAGAGGTAGTCCTGACGGCAGTTGAAGCAGTAGCCTCCGATGAGGGGAGGTCAGTGTGCATAGTGGTGGGAGGGAGGAAGAAGGACCAAGGTGATGCGCGCGGATTATTGTCCTGAGATAATCGGTCGCAAGGGCGGGAGGAATCCCGGAAAATGCCTCAGCGAGCCAATTACGCCAGCGGAGATCCCCGGTCATGATTCCCACATCCTGACCACCATGGTGTTCCAAGCCGGAGGAGAAATAAGATATGGGTCGCATTGCGCCTCGCGATACTACTATTGCAGTCAAGTACTTGTGGTCAGGGTATAGCACCGGCTACACACTGAGAGTGACCCGCCATGAATGTAGAGCGTGGCTACGACCACACTGAGGTCACGGCTTGTCTCCGACGACGATCATGTCTGCACAAGCCATAGCACGCTGGAATGCAATCCCAGCGACCCGCGAGGGAAATGAAGAAGCGTACGATGCGATTCGGGGAGTTAAGGTGCGTATACTCTGGTATATAACTTTACCATTGTCGGTGGACTACCCTGGCCTCATCGCAGCGCACCAGAAACGACGAACACTCGGACTCTGACGGGGATGTATCGATTGTCTCACGCACACCCTCACCGCCACCACCGGACGAGATGGAGATTGATCAGTACGATGAGTATCATTCTGCGCTGCCTAGGGAGACCATCACCGTCGAAACACGCATCAAAAACACGAATAAGGGCTTTGCAATGCTCGCCAAACTTGGTTGGGCTGAGGGAATGCCCCTCGGCGTCTCTGGAGAAGGTGCTTCACCGTCACATATTCAACTTCAAGGAGCTGACAATCAATAGGGCGCGTGGACCCGGTGCCATTCTACGTCAAGAACGACCTGACGGGTTTGGGCAAGATGAGCCAAGACGTGGAAATGATCGAGTCCACAGTCTCGCAACGACGCAATCTCGACTCTGAGCGACATCTCAGGGAAACACAAGAGCAACGTCGCGAGCGCGAGGTGCGCTATCATCTCTTACTTCATTACGGAAAGTCCCCATCTTTGGCCTGTGATCTCCCTGCGTAGGACACTGTTGCCCGGCGCGAGGACATCAAAACGGAATTGGCCTCGACGCTCCGCCCATTTTACTGCGATGTCTGTGACAAGCAGTTTCAGAATGTCGCGCAGTACGACGAGCACACTAATTCCTACGCCCATCATCACAAGATTCGCTTCCGCGACATGCAGGCCACGCAACGCACGCAGGCTGCTGCTCAGGGCGCGGTCGACGCGCGGCGAGAGAAGGAGCGCAAACGCGAGGAGAAGGAACTCAAGAAGCTGGCCAAAGCTCATGGGATAAAGATTGCGGCACACACTATACCGAACGCAACAGCCTCATCTTCGACCGCATCTATCGCACCTGCGGAAAAGCCTAAGGCAGGTAGCGGGTGGGCCGCTGTATCTGCGCCGGCAGCACCAGTGCCGCCTCGTTGGAGCTCCGCTGTAACGCCTGATGCTCAATCCGCACCCGCGTTCCGCACGGGTGGATGGTCAAGCCTTGATGATCCAGCGACCCAAGCGCATGGGCCGACAGCTGTTATCCATGCCCCCTCACCGCCTTCTGGTGGCGAGGATTCTCGCCTGCCGCTCTTGACAGGTCCAAATAGCGCTGTACGTGGAGCTGAGCGCTCAGATGCTAAACTGGCAACTGGGTCCGCGAACATGTCGCTTGCAGCTCCAGTTCCTGTGGGTGGTTTTCGAAGTCTGACAGCGCCTACTTCATCTACGGGGGCGTCATTGACAAGTGATGCTTCTTCTACGGCGCTTCATTCTGTGAATCCGATTCTGGGAATTGTCCCGGCGACCTCTTCAGGCTCAACCCCAGCGCTCGACCCCTACGATGCGGCAGCGAAGAAGACAGGGAATGGGAAGAAGAAGGCGAAGAAGGAAGAGGCCGCTATTCGCGAACAGAGTCGCTCTGGTTGGCAGTCGTTTCAACGCGGTGGCAAGCGCTGAAGTCGCTCGCCCTACGAAGTTATCGGTGCTGCTCGTTGGTGCACCCCAAAGCGCATCCACATGCCCTACTAGATCGTATCTACCGTTGCGCATCCTGTGAATTGTAATGGCCATCGTGCATCTTATAAGCCTACATACCGCTTCTTAGTCTCTGCGTTCTCGAGTGTACAACTTACCATCTGCCCATGACTTCTACGTCGGCGCAGTACAGTATCATCTTATAGTAAGCCGAGAGCTACGGAGAGTTAAGTTTTCGCGTTAGGAGGTCAACACCCAGGGCGTGTGGCGTATGTGAAATCGTCTTCAAGTGGTACAATATCGATTGCAGACTGGTTCGAGTCGGTGGAGTCCGAGACCAGTCACTGGATACATAGAGTCCACGTTTTGAGCCAAACCGTCGGCCCGCCACTCATCGCGCGGCGCTGACGTCTGTCGCGCGTTGTTCGTCGCCTCGACCATGGACCACCATTCAGCGCCGCGCCGACAATCGTCCACGATAGCTCACATGGACGAGGATATGATGGCTCAAATGGGGTTCGGTGGCTTCGGGAAGCAGAGCAAAAAGCACGAGCTCAAGGCCGACCGGTTCGACAAGGCGAAGCGCACGGATGTTCGTTGCCTACCCTCCATTTCTTGTACTTTCTTCACTAATGAAGTCTACAGGCAAAAAATGAGGCGTCGTCTACGCCTCCCCCAACGTCAATGCCGCCTCCTCCGGTACCCGCAAGGTCCGAGTCCGCCTTGTCAGACCCAGCATCGGCGCTTGGCGTAGAAGCCGAACCCGAGTACGACCCGGACGATGACGACGACATGGGTCCTCAGCCGGGCGACGACCTGCCTCAATTCCCGATAACGCACGAGCTTACGCTCAAAGACCACAACAAGGTCGTGAGTGCCCTCGCCCTCGACCCCTCGGGTGCCCGCGTCCTCTCGGGATCCCACGACTACGACTGTAAGCTCTGGGACTTCGGTGGTATGGATGCTCGTGGAAAGCCATTCAAGACTTGGGAACCGAGTGGCTCTTATTATGTATATACCATCGCCCTTTTCAGGCTCGTGGACCATCTTAGCGCTAAACGAAGATTATGTTTAGATACATGATCTCAAGTACGCGCCCGACGGGCATAGATTCCTCGTCATTTCTGGCACCACGCAACCAAAGATGTATGACCGCGACGGAGAGGAGCTGTGCGTATATCCATTTCCGTACTATCAGGGGCAACTAACCTGACTTGCAGGGCTACTTTCATCAAGGGAGATATGTACATTCGTGACATGAAGAATACTGCGTACGTCTGATTCAAGTCTCTATGCTTAGTTCATTATTTCCTGAAGTGGGGGGCATCCAGGGGACATGTGGCCGAGCTGTCGTCCTGCGCCTGGCATCCGCGCGAACCCAATACCTTCATCACGGGCTCTGCTGACTCTACGGTCCGCATCTGGGATACCGAGAACAAGCGCAAGCAGAAGACTGTCATCGTCGTCAAGTCCAAAGAACGTGGCGCGCGCACCAAGGTCGCGGCAGTTGCCTACTCGCCCGACGGTTCGCTCATTGCGGCCGCATGCGTTGATGGCGCTTTGCACCTGTGGAAGACGAACAGCAACTTCGTGCGTCCGGACAGTACAGTGGAAGGCGGCCATGCGAGGGGTACGGAGACTGGCAGTATCTGCTTCTCCGTTGACGGATCTACGTTACTGTCGCGAGGTGGACCGGGCGACGACACCATCAAGCTGTGGGACGTCAGCAAGGGCAAGCTTGTGAAGAAACCCATAGCTGTCCGCGCGAACGTCGTCTCATTGTATCCGACGACGAACGCGATTTTCAGCCCGGACAACCGCTTCGTCGTTGCCGGAGCTGGTGCGGAGGTGAAAGGCGGCAAGGGTCGTCTGCTCTTCCTGCGCAGGGAAGACCTGGCAGTCGAGCAGGAGCTCGAGCTCGAGGCAACGCCCGTAGTCGTACAGTGGCATGCCCGGATCAATCAGGTGGGAACAACTCTTCGTCTGCGTTAGACGAGTACTAACGCTAGACGTCGTCAGCTTGTCGTGGGTCTGACGAACGGGCAGATATCGGTGCTGTACAGCGCAGCGACGAGCATCAACGGTGCGAAGCTCCTTGCAAACAAGGGTCCGGCACGCAAGATTACGATCGAGGACATGAGCGATGCCCTGGCGGCGCCGACGATTCTTACGCCGCATGCGCTGCCCATGTTCAGGGACGGCGAGGATGGGATTGCGAGGGGCACGAAGCGGCGGCGGGAGAAGGAGCGGGCAGACCCGCGCAAGAGCCGGCGGCCGGAGATGCCGGTCACAGGTCCAGGTCGGGGAGGGCGCGTCGGTGCGAGCGCTACACAGCACGTCGTGCAGAACTTGGTCCGCGACACGACGCGCGATGAGGACGTGAGTGGCCCACTTTTGTGTTTTCTTGCCTCCCTCGTTTGGATTTGGCGCCGGCCGATGGATGGGTTGGCTGCGGGCGCCCGGATTTGGATGGGCTGTGTGGGCGCCCCTGTCTCGCTATCGCGGCATCGGATGGGTCGAGATTGGGATGCACTCGCCCTCGGACGCTGCGAGCGGGAGTTCATGAGCGTCGGCGCACGACGGACGCAGTGCTGTGCGCGCACCGTCTTCCAGTCTGAGCGGCGGAGAGAGTGAGCGGGTAGGGGATGAGGCAGTAACGCGTTGATCGGACGGAGAATGCCGGACGCGAGTCTCGGCGCGCGACGATTTTGCAGCCATCAGATGTTCGGCTGTCGCGTCGTTGCTGACGACGGCGAGCACCCCACCACGGACGATGCTGACGACCGTTTACAGCCGCGCGAAGCGTTGCTCAAGTATGCAGAACAAGGAGAGAGGGACCCTCAGTGGACGGCAGGTGCGTGCTTGAGAGCGTACGCGCGGGAAGAAAAGGAGCTGACGCAAGGGGTCTTGGTGCATCAACAAATTGATTGCCTCTTCTCGCCTTCGCCGTCGCCACGCACGCTGACTCGCACGATCCGCGCCGCGCTTTCGCCCGTGCAGCCTGGAAGCAGAACCAGCCGAAGCCTGTGTTCGCGCCTGCCGAGGAGGACGAGAAGGAGAAGGAGTAGGGGCCGGAGTAGAGGCTGTTGATAGAAGTGACGGAAGGGTGTGACGGTGACACGTGGCGTGACTGTCTGAAGTATTTAAGATTGAGCCGCGGATTCGCGCGCGCCCCGTCGCTCTCCGCCCCGTGCCTGTGAAATGCAACTTGCCGCTTCTCCCTCTCCTCCGAATCCCGACTCGCCGAACACGCCCATCAACATATCCGAGCACGCAGACCCAAAAATTCACAACCCGGAAGTCGACACGGTGCTCGCGCAGCCGGAGCCACTGCACGTGAAAGAAGTGCCGCCGGCGCCTGCGGAGGAGACGCGCGCGTATGACGCGCCGCCCGTCGAGGGCCAGACTGGATTGGTGCCGGAAGAGGGGCACGTGGAGCAGGATGTGAACATGGAGGAGGGGCCGAGGGAGGAGGAGGAAGAGGCTGGCGAGGGCGAGCTCGACGGCGACGTCACCATGGCGCACGACGGCGAGGGCCATTCCCCTCCCGCGGGCTCGTCGACGACGGCGGTGGACAGCGTCGTGGAGGACGAGCAGCCACCGGTCAAGCGCGCCCGCAAACACTCGGACGCCGAGCTCGCTTCAGCCCATGTAAGCATACTGCACATGTATTTATGTACTGTATGTGCTCAATGTCGTAGACGACGCCCACCGCCTCTGCTCCCGTCCAGTCTCCTGCCACGCTCTCCGCAGCGCAATATAAATTCTTGACTTCCACCATCCGCCAACTTAAGAAGCTGAAAGACTCTGCACCCTTCCGCGCGCCAGTCGATCCAGTGGCGCTAAACATCCCGCACTACTTCCAGGTGGTCAAGCACCCGATGGACCTCCAGACTGTCGAGCGCAAGTTGGCCTCGTCGAACCCCGCCAAACCGGACCCGAACGCCAGCAACCCGCGATACAACTCTGCGGAAGAACTCATCCTGGACGTCCGACAGATGGTCATCAACTCGGTCACGTTCAACGGCGCCGAGCATGTCGTCACTCAGATGGGCAAGCGCGTCGAGGAGCAGTTTGACAAGGCGCTTAAGCAGCTACCCCCGCCCGACGAAGCCCGCGCTGAACCCTCGGAGCCCTCGTGGCTCTCGCGTCCCACGCATTCCGCATCTGCGCCTGGCACCGCCCGCCCGCCAAAGACGGCCCCGATCAAGAAGGAGAAGGTCGCGTCTCCGTCCCCTCCCGCCGCTGTCCCAAAGAAGGCCGCCCCTTCTCGTCGTCCGTCAACATCAACTCCCACCATTCGCCGTAATGACGATAGTCACCGGCCGAAACGCGAGATTCACGCCCCTGCTACAAAGGAGTTGCCATACACCTCCGAGCCGAAGAAGCCGCGTCGGCGCGCCTCCAAGTCCGCCGCCTCGAACGAGCAGCTCAAGTATTGTGGCAAGATTCTCGACCACCTCAACAAGAAGCAGTTCTTCAACACCGTGGCGCCTTTCGCCGAACCTGTAGGTTCGTGAGATTTCCCAGACTTCCCCGCGCTATTCAGATCGATCGCGCGCTTATCATTTTCCCCATGTCCAGATTGGGTAAAGCTCCAGATCCCGGATTACCCGAAGATTGTCAAGAAGCCGATGGACCTCGGTACTATGCGGTCGAAGCTCGACAACGGCGAGTACACATCCGCGGATCGCTTCCACGCCGATTTCAACCAGATCATCAAGAACTGTTGTGACTATAACCCTAAGGGCACGGCGGTATATGACGCCGGCCAGGCGCTCAAGCGACTCTTCGAGGAGAAGTGGCGAGCTTTGCCCCCATTGCAGCCGAGCTTTGAGAGCGAGGACGAGGAGGAGGAGGAGGTCGAAGATGACGAGGAAGTTGAGCGTTTGCGTAAGTATCGATTTGATGCCCGGCAGAGACCATGGAGCTAATGCAGATCTATAGGACGACTTCGCGAGATGCAGGAGCAAATGGCTGCGCTCCAGGCTCAGATGCAGGAGATGCAGGGCACTCCCGCGGTCGTGAAGAAGCCCAAGATTGAACGAGCGCCACCGCCGCCGCCTGCCCCGAAGAAGCGCAAAGCGCCGCCCGTCGAGCGCGAGCCGTCTATCTCCGCTCCGCTGCCCTCGACGTCCAAACCGAAGAAGGAACGTGCTCCGCCGCCTCCCCCGCCGCCTCCCAAGAAGAAGGCTGTCAATCGGAAGACGGCCACCATCCCTGACGACGACGTGCTTTCTTTCGACCAGAAGAAGGAGCTCTCTGAGGCGATTGGCACCCTCGACGGCAGCAAGCTGGAGCGCGTCATCAACATCATTCATGAGGGTGTACCGGAGATCCGCGACGTATGTTTTGGCCAGTTCCTCCGAGTTGGCCGCTCGCTAACAATGACCGCAGAGCCAGGAGGAGATCGAGCTTGAGATAGACGCCCTTCCCGCCAACGTCCTAACGAAGTTGTACAATTTCGTGATTCGACCGATGAAGCCACCCCCACCGAAGAAGCCGCGTACTGGCAAGGGTACGGGTACTGGTGGCCTCAAACGCAAGAGCATGGATGAGGATGTTGAGGAGGCGAAGATCAGGAGGCTCGAGGCGCAGATGCGCCTATTCGACGAGCATGCTGCTGGTGGCAGCGCCAGCACCCCGCTCCCACCTATTCCCGCCGCTGCTTCCGCCGCAAACGGGCACGAAAGTGATTCGAGCAGCGACGATGATAGCTCCGGGAGCGATTCGGAGTGAGCGGCTCGCATATTCGCTGCTTCTCGACTGACCCATCCTCTTATTACTCGTTCACACTTGCCTTATTGCTACATAATGTTATTCGTTTCCGTCTTCTTCGGGCCCCATCGTCGCTCGCTGCCACCCTGCCCCCTCCACGCTTTTGTCTTTCGCCGTGCGCTTGCTCCCTTCTCCCCTTCATGTGGTACTGCTTTTTGTGTCTCGACGTTGTAGGAGTGGAACTCAGCTGTTACTTACCTTACTGAATACGGTACCTGTGCTGGTGCTGAGCAATCGGATATCAAATTCTGCATATTCCAGTACTCGGTGTGCAATTGTAATGTTGAGATGAGTGCCACGAGGCGATTCTTCGTCGGGAGCGGTGGCAGTTTCAACATCGATTGCCAGATGCGTAAGACGATAATCACATAGGTATCGGCATTGGCGCTTTGAATTGTATGGCAGATAGTATAGCAAATACTTGAGCTCAAAGGAGAGACAGGTTGTGGATGGGTTTGATGCAGATCAAAGACGCCACTTGTGAGCCATGCGTTGTGGTTGCGAAGCAAAGTGGTCAAGCACCGTGCGGCGCTCACGCCGGAACCTCTACCGGCTTGACCACGACCACGACCATCCTCGCACCATCGGGAACGCTTAACATCATGCTGAAAAGAGCTCGTGCCTCTACTCCCCCGCCCGCGTCGTCGACGCCGGACTTGTTACCAATGCTGCCCGATGAGCCCTCGGCGCGCCACACCATGAAACGGCGCCGTGTGCTCCCGCCGTCGCTCGATGGCTCCACGAGGGGCATGAATTATTCTCATGCTCCCATCCTTCAGCAGCCTGATGATGACGGCGAGGAATATATGGACAACGAAGATGACGAACGGGACCGGGTGCGGATCCCGGTGCCTCAAACCTACAAGGCCGTCAACTCGCTGCTTCACGACCTGCACGCTGAGCACCAACATCGTCTACTCTGGTCCTCGCCCTCTCCTTCGACGCCATACGCGCCGGTGCCGACCTACTCGTACCCGGCGTCGGCGGCGGCAGTGGCGCAGCACCACATTGCGCAGACCGCGCGGGCGCATCTGCCACAGGCTACTCCGCCATACAGTGTATCTATGCGCTCCAAGCAAGTCGCAGACGGGCAGCTACTGACACCACCTCCTTCTACCTCCCATGAGGAGGGCACGGCAATGCAATACGAGGATACGAATAGGTGCGACCCATCTGTTTGTACTGTGTTTAGGCTTCTTGCTAATCACGCTTGCGTCTAACAGGCTTCTGCGAGAGGCGTTCCTCAGTCGTAGACGACAGCTCTCTGGTTCATGAATATCGCCATTCCTATCCATGAGGGTTCGTCAGCGCTCATCGCTTCACTGAGCCAAGCGACGCAGTTCGATCCTCGCTCTCGCTCCCGCATGACCTTACAGAAGTCAACCTCGATTTCGTCGATTCCCGCATGCCATACATTCGTCACATCGCTTTCTCATCGCACTGTAAGTATCGCATGTCTACGCTGCATTATCTTGTCATAGCCTCTCTACCTTACTTTTGCTCATCACGATTCACTTCACTCGAGTGGCGTCCAGCCTCAAAACATCCCATAGATTAGTATGTGCTGTACGCTAGCAATAGTACTCTCCGTCTATGCACTGTCTCAGCCCGTGGGTCTGGAATACGCCCCTACGCCTGCCGGGAAACCGCGCAACCATCATGCTTCGAACCCCGCAAGCTTCATCCCGAGCCGCTGTTCAACCAACCGCCGCACCTCCACCCCAAGGCCAAGGTCAATATCCTCGTTGAATGCCGCGCTGAGTTCCTCGTTCAGGAGTGCGCCCAATGTGCGCTTATCCCGCGAGTATATCCAATCACCCGTTTTCTCTGACAGGTCGTAGCGCTTCGGCCCGCTATACGCGGCCTTCAGCTGCGGTCTTCTGGTAGTGAGAGGACGCGCACCTAATAGGGGAAGATAGCCAGATCTGTTTGTTCGGAGGTTGCTTGTTGATCACGTACTTGCCGTGCGTGCCGAGGTCGAGCGTCAGTACGCCGCTCTATAGAACGCATGACAAGAAGTATGAGGGACACGTCGAGGCTACTGTATGATTATAGAGCACGCACGCTATAGTCAACTTCGAAAGCAGAGTCCCCCCGCGAGTCGATGAGCTCCTCCAGGGATTCCAATAGGTGGTCAAGCGTGTGGTCGGCGATACGATGGTAGTTCTCCTCGGATAGATCACTGCGCATACGGTAACAGCGTTGAGTATCAGATAATGCTCTCTCAGATCAGGAAACGAGAGACCTCAGTATAATCTGAGGCGGTGGCGTGGCGTAGTGCCGTCGTGTGCTGAGGATCCGCGGTCGCGCATGTGCGCTTGTAGCCTGAGACAATCTTCGTGCGGTGTGTATGTATGACAAGGCGCTATTGGCACGAGTCGCATGCAATGACGCGTATTTGAATGCAGAACGTGCTATTTGTTTGGACGACATGACGAACGAGGATAGAGACGAAGTAGGTTCGAGAACAAGACGCGTGAGCGTGTTCGGACGCGTCGCGGATTCGACGCGCACAACTTGAAAGTTCACGCAATAGATGGGCACCTAGACATCATCCGAAGCGGTAGGTGTGTTCTTATATGTAATGACATCTGATAAACCGGACCAGTCGCCGTACATCTACTGGTTTTTGCCCTCCTTCGACACCCAGTCCAACCACGATCCCTCATAATTGTAGATGCTGTGCACCCCGGTCAGAAACATCTAGCCACGCGAAGAAGTTACACGCACTTTGTGTAGCCATTCCTCCGTGCAATGTCGCTTGCACTCGCGCTGCGTTTACCACTACGGCAGTAAAATACTATTTCCTGGTCGCGCTTGGGCTTTGGCCATCCGAAGCGTGGTTGCCATTCCTCTGCGGGCACAGACCAAGCTCCAGGCATTTGTGACAGCGGGAGATTCACAGACGACGGGATAGAGCCTTGGATCACTTCGTCCGGTTCGCGGACGTCTATGAGAAACGCTTCCTGAGCGGCGTAAATTCTATAAGAACGTGGTTTTTACACATAAAGCTGAACGTACAGGGCTCGGCTGCTCAGAGCGCTTCTTCACGTCCTCGTAGCTTAGTTTCGGTGCGATCCAGTCGCGGTCGAGGTTGTCACGCTCTTTCAAGGCTGCTTTGCGCTGCTCAGGCGTGAGCGTCGAGTTCCAACGCGCGGCCGAGCGGATCGCAATCAAGGCCGGCATGCGAGTGCGGACTACGTTCGCCGCAGCGCGCGGCAGAGACTTTCGCGTGGTAGAGACGGCCGTGCGGAGCATTGCTATAGAGGATTGACTAGGACTGGTGGTGTTTCTAAGAGGTTGGGAGGCGACTCGGACGTTGAGGCTGAGAATGCTCTGACGTTATGGCGGTGGCGTCACACTCGCGTGTGCAGACGTGTGCATGTTCGGGCTGACGGTCCGACGTTGTACAAATGTAAAACCAGGTGTATGTATCCAATCGTCTGAGCCTGGCACCTGGTAACTCGATCCCTCAATACTGTAGCGCGAGAACCCGGCTGTGTGCTGTCTGCGTATATCTTTTGAATTATGTAGCGATGGATGGGCACGGATTATGGCGTGCGGGACACATAGGGCGCAAGAGTGATCTCATCAAGCAAAAGTGCCTCAGGCTTTGTGTGGGAAAGCGAGCGCGCAATTGCCTCAGGCCTCCGGCGCGGCGTGTCCTTGGGTTGTCCTCACCCCCACTGTTCCCCCCGCCTTCGGCATGCTCAGATCTTCTGTCTCCCTTCCACATAGCACGCCTGTCTCAGCTGGAGCGTAGTTCTCATCAGGCTGACCTGGGTGGTGCTTTCCCTTCCTATATACTCGTCATAAACATGAGCCTCTGGACATTGTTGCAGCTGACGGCGGCTTTTCGATATTACACCTTACGCCGTCGATACTATCCTCTGGATGGATGGATCGCTCTTATATTAGACCCCCTGGGGTTTGAGCCCTCCTGAGTGCGAGCGTCGTTCTCGAGAAGCTCAGCGAGGATAGCCACGCACGGCACTCCCATGAAGTGACTAACACAATCTCCTCTCCTTGATTAGCGCAGTGCTCACGAATATTATAGGATACGAAATAAATGTCATCTTTTTGGTGTTTAGTACAACCTGCTCTCTTGCTCGACCGGGCTGCCCGATCATCAACGCCATGGCCTTGCCCTGGCTAGTCAACGCCCGTGCCCGCTTGTGCGTCCATCGAGAGAGTGGCGTTAGAAGCGATGCTCATAGTTGAAACTGTGTATGGGCGGTCTTCGGCACTTAGCTCGGGACTGCTCACACAAGCGCGAGGACCAGGCTATCGCCTTGTTTGTGCTTGTTTATGGGTTCACACAGCCTATTCACTGCGGCCGTCACATCTCTTCGCACCATCACCAGGTCGACAGTACACCCTACTCCCTTGCCACACCACGACCTATCGGCTACCTACCATGGATATGACGAGCTCAGACGATAACACAATGATCATGATGACCCCGTATCTGCACTTTACTGGTGGCGATTTCCTCTACTTCAAATCTCTTGCGCCCTCGTCCAGGGGCGCCATCGCGGGCGCGGCCATTGTGCTGGTCTTCCTCGCGATTCTTGAACGCGCTCTCTCTGCTGGAAGGGGACTGATGGAGGCGCATTGGCGACAGGCGTATGTTCACTCATCTCCGTCTGCACGTGCGTCAACTGATTACCGTGACGCTTAGCGCCCTGGGCATGGCTGTACAACGTCTTGGTCTCACCGCAGAGCCAGCTGAGGCCGAATGCGTCGACTGCAAAGAAGAAGAGAAGGCGCCGTCTGCGAATGCTACACCTATTCCCTCCCTCGCAACGCAACCGCTTCTTGCCTCGCGCCGCGCCCGCCTGATCGCGCCCTTTATCGCCTCTCACGATCTCTCCCGCGGCGCGCTCTATGCTCTTCAAGCGCTACTCGCCTACGCCCTCATGCTTGCCGTTATGTGAGCTTACCCGTGTACTCCTTCTCTGCCCTGCTGACCACCGCCCTTCCAAGGACCTTCCAGGCGGCGTACATCATTTCGATAGTGGCGGGACTGGGGCTCGGGGAAATGTTGTTCGGTCGCTTCGCACTCGCTCACGCGAATCTCTAATGAGGCGGAAGTTCCGGGCCTGCTATGTGCATAGACTAAGGAAGGTGTGCACTCCCGTGTTGTTACGTGCTCCAGATTGCTATGCGTTACCATTTTGTGTACTTGCGCTCTTCGTCGATTAGAAAGTACAAGCCAACTCCACAATGAGAATCATACAGTACTCGTACCGTTGAAGGGCTGTGCGGAAGACCGGCTGACTGTTCGAAAGGCACAGACAGCTCAGGGACAGAAGGGTCCGACCGCCGCGGTGTTCGGTGCCAGTTCTGATGTGAGGGGAAAAGAACTTTTTCACCTCCCAGCTTCGGCCCCTCGTGCGAATATACCCAATGCTTGGCCCTGACAGTCCCGTCTTAATAAAAAGGTCTTCTCTCTCGTCTTCCGCTCTCCAGACTCCTTGTCCGCCCCGCGAGGTCTTTTCTCAACCCCAACGCTTCCCACAGGTCTCTCCTCACGAGTCCGTCACGATGCGCGCTGTCTGCTTTACCACTCTTGCGTCTTTCTTCGCCGTCGGTGTCAACGCCCACTTCCAGTTGCAATATCCTGAACCTCGTGGGCCGTTCGTTGAGGACGATGAGCCCACATTCTGCGGTACGACGTGCAACCACACTAGAAATATCATATGAGCGACTGACTTCGCGCCCCAGACAACTACGTGAACGCAGTCGACAACCGTACTGCCTTCCCTCTTTCGGGAGGCTACATCAAGATTAATAGTGAACATACGTCTTGGACATGTAAGTTTAACTTCTAAGTCTGGGCTTCGTCTTCCTCGAGACTTTTGAGACTGATTACGCTTCGGTAGTCGGTGTCGAGATTAGTACGAAACAGAACCCGACATCGTTCGCGAACTTTACTGCGAACAACACGGACAACGGCCAGGAGCAGCTCGTGCGCCAATTCTCGCAGGGCTCCGGCGAAGGAAGCTTCTGTATCCCGCTCGATCTCAACTCGACCGGTATCTCGGGAGTACAGGACGGCGCAAATGTCACGCTTCAGTTCATCTTCGACGGCGGCGACGGCGAACTGTTTCAATGTGCGGACCTCACACTCGCTGCGAACGCGAGCTTGCCCGGCGGATGCTCTAATAGCACCGGCTCTGGAAGCGACGACGACAACTCAACGAGCTCTAGTAGCAGCTCGGGTAGTGGGGCGGTCGCCATTGCTGCACCACTTGCCCTACCAGCCGCATTAGCTCTCGGCGGTATCGGTCTTATCGCTGCATTGTTCTAATTCGCCCACATAATTGAGCCATTGAGGATCGTTCTGTACTATAGTCGCATCACTAGCGCAAGCTACGGTCTCGTTGACTGATTTCATGGGGGAAGGATCATGATTCGGCTCGAAGTAGCAGAGCGTAGACGAGTATAATGTAAGCATATTGAGGTATACGTTCATGGAAAACTGTATATGAATCTATGACATGCCGTTTCTCATATTTTCAAACTTGCTACCCTCGTATCGTAGCCAATTCTGCTGGCGCAGATCTATGCCGCCCATAGCATCTTTCACAATACCCACCAGGCTCAGACCAGGTTGAGGTTCCTTGCCCGGCCCCCCTTCCATACCTTCCCGCTTCCCCTGTTTATCTCCACTGAGTTCCCAGTACATGGACCCTCCCAGGCCCTCTTGCGCGATCCACCCACCCTTCCAGTTTCCAACAGCCTCATCGTCGTAGCTAATCATCTCGCGAGTACCGTAGTCGAACGACCAGCTGGCGAGCAACTTCTCGTCACGAAAAACATGGGCTCCCGGCAACGGCAGAACGCGATAATCGTAGACGCCTGACTCCCAGCTTCCTTGCCCAAGCCCGTTAAACGGAGTGCCGGGTCCTTGCGTGTCAAGGAATGAACGTCCGTAAAGCGGGATGCCCATGATTATCTTCTGACGCGGAACACCCTGGGAGATGTACCAGTTGATAGCTTGAGACGCGCTGATGGGTCCGCCAAAGACGTTCGCTTGATGGTTTGCAATTTTATCCCATGAGCCAGCTTGCGTATGGTCAATCAGCTTCGTCCATGACAGGAGAGAGATGGCGAGCTCACCAAAATCGTACGCCATCATGTTCCAGAAGTCCAGAGACTGGTCCATCTCTCGAACGTGGAGTTTTTGGTAGTTATCCGGCCCGCAGGGAGCAGCGATCTAACATATTTTTCATGAGCTGACCAATGGCACAAAGGCAGGAACCGACCGTAAGCAAGAAACGGTAATCCGTGTTCTTTTGCCGGGAGTGCTCGTCCAACGCTGCGCGAAGCTCTTTGAGCAATTCGACGTATCCACGGGCCTGGGCAGGATTCTGAGGATACTCATAGTCAATGTCTAGGCCGTCGAGACCGTAGTCCTCCAGAATCTGCACGGACGAGCGAACGAATCCCGCACGCAAGGCAGAACTCTCGACAACGGGATGGAAAGAAGGAGAGTAGGTCCATCCACCGATGGAGAGCAGCAATTTCAGATGGCGATTCTGCTTCTTCAGCAGGTAGATCGCCTTCAAGTTTCCATAAAGATTGGTGCCGGGATCGTTCCAAGAGTCCCCGGGATAGTGAATATCCTGGTCCGCCCAAAGGTCGGAGAGCACGACCTCGCCGGTGTCTGGTTTGACGTTCGCGAACGCGTACAGGATATGCCTGCTGGAAGGTCAAACGCAAGACATTTGAAATGTGCCCAGAACAACATACGTGAGATCCTGCACCGGAATCTCGGAGGGGGGAAATTCTGAACGAGATAAGTCGGTAGGAGTTAAGCGTATAACAGCCTCTGCACGCACTTCGACCGTAGATACCCCTGGGAAAACGATGTCAGCCGGTCGCATACTCTAATATTTCCGCCGCACCAATTCACAAAGCTACAGGATACGTTGTAAACAATTTGCACACCTAATCCTGGTAAGAAAATACGTACTATCCAACGCTATACTTTCCGGCCATGGTCCTGTCAGGGTCACTCGTTCCCAGAGTCAGAGTCGGAGTCGCGATATCTTTGTCGATAACCTTTGAGAAATACGTAGGAGTTGCGAGATTCGAGGGCTTCTTGCTCAGAGCAGATGCGCGTCCTTTCCACTCTCCCAAGCTGTATGAAGCGATCGCGAGGACGACGAATGCAGCTGCTAGCGCGATATGTCTTAGAAGTGGATGACGTCGGCGCTGTGGTGAAGGTGTCGACGAATGGCGAAGGTCGTCTGTGGATTCGGCGGAGGCGACGAGCTCATATGACGGTCCCGAGGAAACCATGCTTGTGGCCGCTCGGTGCAAACCAGACGCCCGCCACATAAACCGGATGACGTCACGCGGAGAGCCTGCCGCTGTTATCGACTGCGTGGCCGTTGTTGTCTCTCCTTCAGACGCGAAGTTATGCTATGTAGGCAAACAAGCAGCTAGGTACAGGGACTCAGAGAGGGTCAAATCATGGATGGATAAAGTCATATATTTATTGTACGTGTCATATGGTACAATCCCGAATCGTATTCCATCCCGCGCGCAATCACAATCGCGCGGTGGGATTGCCAGGCCAGGTGCGTATTATGGGCGGGCATGTACATACGCGGCCCTTACGCTCGGCACGATCCCACTTTCTAAGTGGTACCGAGGGCTAGCGAGGCCGAAGCGGCAAGTTTTCGAAAGCTTACAGAAGCTTAAACCGTCTGATACCCTCCTTGAGGGGCTGGCTGGGATGGAGCCGCAGAAGCAGAGGGGGCAGAAGGACGAGTGGGTGTTGGTTGAGCGGGAGGGTCATCAACTGTCTGATATCCGTCGCGTGTGCTGTTGGGCGCAAATCCGCCCGGCATTTGCCAAACTATATC